GTTTTCAATACTTCTGCCTGCAATTGAAGTCACTTCACGATAGATAGATCGATATATAAACTGGAATCCATCAAATCTATCCCGAATAATAAAACATCACTTGACAAAGAAAATCGATTTATCCGATAGATAGAGCAGAATGTTGTAGGCAGAAGAACGTTGAAGAAGATCTCCTCCAACTGAAAAGTACCAACACACTTCTTCGCTCACTGAATTCTTTTATCTTCTCGAATATATTTTCTAAATGTGCTCCTTTTTTGGTTATATGATGAACATTGAGTGAAGCGAAAAGCAAAAAATAAAAAAGGTGTTTAACCGAGTCACACAAAAGTGTGAATGGTGAAAGAGCTGCTTCTCTTGAAATGCACAATGCACAATGAATGTCCACTTTTTATTCAATAAGGAAATATATGTGGAGAAATCGACGGTGTCTAAATGGGGTCACCACTACGACCACGATTCTAGTCGACATTTTCCTTGCGAAACTAGAAATTAATGGGCCTTTGAAGGATGTTAGTTAATGAACTTGAATTCTATTGTCGGCACATACATGGATGATACATTTTTGATTGTGAAAAATGAGGGGGAGGAGGAGAAGGTAAAGAACATCCTGGATAAATTTAGCGAGGTTCATCCTCCAATAAATTTTACTAATGAGGAAGAAAGGAAAAGACTATAGTATTTCATTTATAGACGTCCTCATGACCAGAAAAAGAGGATGGCACAATTAGAAGACGAAGTGTATATAGAAGACCTACATCAACTGACTGTCAGTATACTCATTTTGTTGGCTTCCGCACATGTTGTATACCGTTTCTATGGCAAAATTCCTGGAATACCTGTGAGGTGAACTGACTGCCATTGTCAGATACGATGATTTCTGGTATACCGTAACATGGGAAGATCTTTTCAAGGACTGATATTGTTCTGCTGCTAGAAGTTGGAGTAACTTGTGCTACCTCCGGACATTTTGAATAAGAGTCCACAAGAACCAAGTAGTATATACCCTGTATCGGCCCAACAAAATCCACATGTAGGCGGGACCATGGTTTTGACGTAAGTCATGCTCTCGTTGACTCCTGCAGCGGATCTTTGGCTGCAGCTTTGCACCCATGACAGTGGTTAACAACATCTTTTATGTCCGCATCCATACATGGCCAGTATGCATAACTTCTGGCTATCGACTTCATACGAGCAATACCCGGATGCACACTGTGAAACTGCTTTAGAGCGTAAAGAGCTTGGTACGACTACACGTTCCTCAAACATCAGGAACTCATTAACAATGCTGAAACCGTGACGGCGGCGGAATAATTGCTTAAGATCATGACTTGAGACTGATTTTGGCCAAGAAGTCTTTACGAACTGTATGGCTTGCTGTAGAGTTGCATCTTCTCTAATTGCCTGTCTTATTTGTTCTGATGTAATAAGAAGCTGCTGGATGGCCAGTGTTAACAATTTATTAACATCGTTTTCAGTCTTACTGGAGCTAACAGTTGCTACTTTGTTGCTACCAGACATCCAAGAACTTTTGGCGCAGCCATGCTCACTATGGGGATTAGAAGTTAATGTTTCATTAATCACGTCATTCTTTATAATGGGTTTAGGTCTAATATATCTGTCTCTTATTTCTGGCTTTATTGTTGAGGGCTCAATACCTTCGATCTTATGGCATACACTGCTTAACGGAATCTCTGACAAGTGCAGCTTCTCGAACCAGTCTAAACCCAAGAGGTCAAGGTTTGAATTATTAATGTAACATGTGCCCACGAAATGACTATCGCGAAAACCAACGTTGCATTTAATTTCTCCATTCAATCGAAGTCTTCCACCACATGCACTAATTGCTATCTGATTTGTCTTCTCTATGGTAGGGCATCCCAGATTCTGCCATAATTTCTTTGATATTACTGTAATATCGGACGCTGTGTCGATTTGTTGGCTTGATGGCCGTATATTAATCGTCAGATCGATATATTTGCAAGGTGTCGGAGTACCAATATGATATGCGGCAGTAACGCTCAAAGACTTGGGCATTCGGCACCGTCTGGGTCGACTATGAGATCTGGGTCGGTTGTTGCGTTTGCAGTAGCCATCTTTGTGACCAACAGTATGGCATCGACGGCATTTATGCTGTTTGAATGGGCACAAGTTTGCAAAATGCCAGCAGGCTGATGGTGGTTTATGCTGAGGATGACGCGGTGCGGTTGATGTCGACGGTACTGGATGCACCGCATGCACTTCTGCTGCATTTTGGCTGCCAGACTGCACCAAGACTGTATCGTTATGAATGTTGATTAAACGCTGGTATTCTTCACCGACGTCTTTCAAAGTCATTCGTGGATCTTGTTCCAGACGATTTAATAGACGTGTGCGTATATCAGCAAATTTGGGAGACTGCAAACCACAGATGAAAATCAATACCTTGAACTGATCTTCTGAGAGCGATTTCAATTTAAAACGTTCACACGTCCGATTGACTATACCCAACTGAGTATGGATATAATCATTTTCGTTCAGAGCTAGTTTCATGCAATGATATCGAATGTTGAATAAAGATCTCTGATCACCAAACTGATGACGAAGGGTATGGACAGCTTTATCGAGTGATCTTTCGCTGGGCTTCTGTAGGAGAATTAAGTTGCAGTATTTATCTAGCTCATCTGCTCCCAATTTACGAAGTAGAAGCCGTACTTTCCAGGCATAATCTTTTTCCGCAAAGTCTACTTGAAATAGGTCTTCATATCTGCGAAACCAGGTATCGAATGTCACGTTCGTGTCTGGATCATAAAAAAATTCTGAGATGCTACTACCAATGCTGTCGTTGGCTGTAGATGAATCGGCAGGGCGTGATATCTGTAGACCAGCAAGCATTTCCAGCATTTTTAGCTGCTGTTCCATTAGTTTCTCTAAACGCAGTGGGTCCATCTTGAGCAAACCCGTCGCCAAATTTGTTATGTGTGTGAATATTATGACCTTGTAGACTACGAGCGAATCTAACTTAATGCGCTGGCTAATCTGTCCTAATCGCACGTCAACAACAACAACAATGACAATACCGCCGGGCACGCAAGACAAAGAAAGAAGACTGGACGTTGATTCGAGAGCTTTTACTGTCTCTACAACAGTCGAAAATGTTAAACAAAACTCCGTATTTATACAGTTAGGAAAATCAATGCCACATTTAAAAAATATTAACAACCAATGGGAATTCAGTAAATTCAATCATGCAGGTGTGAAAAATCAATATTGATGAGTTACCAGTGTATATATCAAGTATGTATTTCATTTCTAGACTACGTCCTTATGACCAGAAAAGAGGATGGCACAATAAGAAGAGGAAGTGTATATAGAAAACCTACATCAACTGACTGTCAGTATACTCATTTTCTCAGCTTCGTGTCCTGGAAATACAAACGCAATCTGATGAAGTGCTTGGTCCACCACAGAGCAAGAGCAATCTGCTCGGATGAATGTCTTGATGAGGAACTTAATAATATTAAACGGTTGCTGAGTGAAAATGGCTATCCAGAAAAGTTTATTGATAAGAATATGAATCTAAAATCAAGGTAGCCCAAGGTACCAGCAGTTCCGAGGTAAAGGATGATTTTATTCTTACAAATGTAGTTCTCCTGGGGGACAACATCAGCGAGAAACTAACACAGCTGTGCCTTAGAAATGCAGTGAAACAAAGAGCATTCAGTGCTGCTTCCGAATAACGCTGTGTCTTCAAAACCACTCACTTCTATTATGCTTTCGGGAGTAACAGACAAACTGCCTAATTTCGCCTCTTCCATGTGTATCTACCAATTGAACTGCTCCTGTGGAGTGAGCCAGTTACTTGCATATGCCGTACAATTAGGCGTGTTTCTCGTCGAATTTCCAAACATCACCCTGCACAGTGGTTGGTTAAGTAAAGGACAAACAAAATCTATCTATTCGCAGCGCTATTCTATCTCACTCATCTTGTGGATACACAACACAAGACTGATTGATGTTAACAAGGCGGCTTTCAGGGTCATTTACCGCATAACAACTAATCTCAATTTCGCCTTAAGAGTTCGACTACTAAATATTGCTGAGGCTGGCTGGCTGGCTGTTGGGATCCATATTAACAAGCCTAATTTGTGCATCCAAAAGAAGTTGGTTGGTTCAGACATTATCCTTACCCGCTTGGCCATCCAGGTTTGAATGATCGATCCTGAATTTTTGTGGAATTTTCCTAATTTAGTTGATATTCTATTTGCTACTATATCTTTATTATTATTATTACTATAATTTAAGCATCTTTAATGAACTGTGGTGATTCCATTGTGATCTTACTTTACAAATCGATATTACTATTTAAAAAGCACACACTAATATTGTTATTGACCACCACTAATCTAGAATATTCTATGTATATAAACAGACATGCATATATAGATATATAATTGTAGAGCGAGAAGAGGAGGAGGAGGAACTTCTTATCGAAAAGGGGGATATTCTTTGCTGGCTCAATTATGCATTTTGTGTTTTTCATAGATAGATAGAAGATGTCTGAATGAATGAATATTTTTTCTTTGCTATAAATACTGAAAATTGTACACAGTTGAGAAATCAGTTAGCTGCTCAATTGAAATGTATAATCAAATCTGTTTTATTCCATAAAAAATAAATAAATAAATGAAAATAAAAATAAAAAAGGGAGAATAAGAATTGATCTGTTTGTGTTTGGTTGTCAAGCCTGAAGAAGAAGTGAACATGGAAACAGCAAGAAGAAGAGAAAGTGAGAGAGAGAGAACAGGGAGGGAATCACCAGAACAAAGTGAACTGATCAAGAGAGATGAGATGGGGGGGATGATTATGCGGAATGGGTTTCTAGTATCACGTTTATTAATAATAATAATAATAATAATAAAGATTTCGTTGATTATATCAGAAATGTGTAATTATGTTAATTAACAAGAGTAGGGGGAGGGGAAGCGTAATAATAATAGTAATAATAATGATAATAATAATCACCAAATGGACTCATCACCCCAGACAACGTGTTTATACTTGGCTTTCAATGCACGCTCCAGATCACTTGCTTGTACAAAATCACGAGTTTCACAGATACACTTCACTTGAACTTCAAATACACTCGACTTCAACCATGTACGATCTTGACTGATATCTTTAATGCTTGAAAGGAAATAATCGTGACAGAGGGGGATGGGGGAAGGCGGGAAACTCATTAAATGTTTATCAAATAGTATGGTCAAAGAAACATATATTAGCTATATAGTATTGTAAAAACAGAAGACAAGGGCCAGGCAACAGATCGTTAATTTAGGAAATCAACACATATTTATCGATTTTCATGAACATACTATTATTATCGATTATTGTTAGCAGACAAACACAGTCTTCTGATTGGTTGTTTCTCTTTGTGACTGTTTCTTGAAGGTCAGATCATCTATCTATCTGCTAATTGTATCCGCCTACGCAAACAAAGTGTTCTGTGATTGGTTGTTGGTTGAGTCAGTCTTTGTTCTTGTTCTTGTTTTCTCATGACCAATATTTGGGACATAAACATTGACGTAAATTACTGTCTACCAATTTCGCCTAGCAGACAGCTCTCACCACAGTATGAAGGGGCAACCAAATATCAGATAAAAGGTAAGCGGGGAATACGAAAGGCTTAAGATTGGGGCATAATGCAATGTTTCCTAATATCGCACATTAAACTGGAACGACTAACTAATTAGCTTAACTATAAATATATAGAAATATCGTTAGGATTCGGTTCTTCTCATACTTGGTTTTTTGTCCCTTCACGTTCCGAGCACAGCATGGGACTTTAAGCTTGAGTCTGAAGGTTTACTAGCCGAGACTGTATGGACTGCCTAAAGTGCACAAGGAGAATGTCCCACTACGACCTGTAATAGACATGGTTAACTCACCTATCATCAAATCACGAACAAGGGCTAGCTGATTGATATCCTTGAACCAGTAAAATGGCATATGACAAAATATAGCCTCAGAGATGATACATTTGACTTCATCGACTCAGTGAAGAATGTCAACGTGTTTGGAAGACAAATGCTCTCACTAGATGTCGCCTCTCTATTCACAAGCACCACCCCCCTGACCGAAACAATATGCTTCATTTGTAATTACATCGAAACTAACAACATAGAAGTTCCTCTTCCCATAAACTACCTGAGTAGAAGGAACTTCTTCTCAGATGTGCTTTCAATATCCAGTTCAAATTCAATGAACAGTTCTATGTAGAGAAAGATGGGGTAGCCATGGGGTCTCTCTCCTCTCGGTCCACTCGTAGCCGACTGCTTCATGGTGAGTCTAGAAAACAACATCCTTGATCCGTTGATAAGTCAACTGCACTCATACAGGAGATACGTAGGTGATACGTTCATAATCTGTGATGAAAAATCCGATTTAGATTCTCTCCTCGAAACCTTCAACGCAGCACACCCATCAATAAGATTCGCCTTAGAACGCGAATCGAACAACGCATTTCCATTCCTCGATGTACTGCTCACCAGAAGACACGACTGTGCAATCCAAAGATCGATACACATAGCAAGCCAACATGGACTGGACAGTTTATCAACTTCCAGAGCTTTGTCCCACTGATCCGAAAGCGAAACCTGGTACGTACATTATGTTCAAGGATTAGAAAAATCTGCTCGGAAGACATGGTAGAGAGAGAATTAAATTTATTACGTGAAAGCCTACTAGAGAACGGGTATCCACCAAGATTTATCGACAAAAACCTGAAGGAGAAGCCTCCGGTGTCAAACATCGCAACAATTCCTAAGAGGACTCTTTTCATGAACCTAGAATTCAAAGGTGACATTGCAGCAGAGGAAATCCACAGAAACCGCCTTTCTAAATGTCTGAAGAAGACATTTCCAACAGCCACCTTGACGTATCACATTCTCCTGCAGACAGTTAATCCAGTCTAACGCTAAGGATAAGATAGCGCTTTTGGCCACTTCAATGTGTGTGTATTTATATCAATTTACTTGCTCGTGTGGAGCAAAGTATATGTCGGTCGTACGTTGCAACGTCAAGTCCACAAACGTATTCTGCAGCACTGTCCAGCTTGGTTAGCCAGCTAGCCAGAAGAGGAAAGAAGAACAGCAGCAGCAGCAGCTCTATCCTCGAACACCTACCTTGTCATCTCCGGACATCGAGCACCACCACATTCAATGTTTATCAAATAGTGTGGTCAAAGAAACATATATTAGCTATATAGTAGTATGAAGGGGCAACCAAATATCGGATAAAAAGCATGGGACTTTAAGCCTGAGTCCGAAGGTTTAGTAGCCGTGGGATTTTTAACGCGGCGTGGGTGGGTAGCAAGCCTCTTACGCCAAACTTCCCATCTTTCTTCAGCTAACTGCAAGCTAAGTGAGGTAGGTCTAGGAGTGATGAGTCGACTGGAGTCCGGTCGAATCCCGGACCACATGGCTGGTTGCCAAGAGCATTCGAATGCTGCACCGCCCGACTCAAGTTAGTTTGATCAATATCAGCTAACTTCACTCACCAGTGTGAAATGAAAACGACTGCCCCGATATATGCTAGACACGGCTTAAGGTGTGACAAAAAGGAGGCGTAAATAAGGTAATCACGTGATGTTTGTCTCTTGTCTACAAACCGGCTTACTAAAATAAGCATATAAATATTATTATTAATGTATGCATATATTGATCGATTGATTGATTGATTTTTGTTTAAAATGAACTCTGTGCAAGTATGTTGAAAATTTCATTTTGTAGATATATTTAATAATGTTTTTGGCCTGTAAGCAGCTGAGCTGACGAGAAGGTAACGAAATAAACAGTGATGATGGTACCACTCGGTTTATTCTGCACAAAAACCACTGTAGTTCTTGCTTTGTTGAAATTACAAGTCAGTGTTTACACATAGGAACACTTGGGAAGTACACGTGAAAGATCCAGGGATTGGATTGGATATCTATTCACAATCTGCATGTTTTTATTTCGATCTCCTTCAAACTCTGGCTGTCTGTCTGTTTTCGACATAGAACCACTTTGCACCGATGTGCAGCAGTTCAAGTCGCCACACACTCTCCACTCCATGTAGCACACAAAGGAAGAGTAGAAAGTAGAAGAAATGCATAATAGAGGGACAGTTAACACAGAGGTGTGGTGATACAAAGGACTAGTAATAACGAAGAACAATATAGTTTCATTGGAAATCATAAGTCACAAAGAGTGGATGCATCTGCGCCAACCATTGACAACGACGGATTTGAGCCATATCACCAGTTGTTTCTAGCATTCATTGGTTTTTACCGTCATGAGGAACCCGACCAGGAAGTCTACACCTTCCTACGTGGCTGGCTGGCTTAAACTAGCTGTTGTGGGTTTCACTGACCAATGAAGCCATGTTTGGTTTGACCGCCGCTAGCTCTTTTCCAGCCTGGCCCTATATCAATTAACATTGCCCTTCGAGGAAGGCGATGACTAGGCATGCATACGTAACACATGTCCTAAACATCTCAGTCAATGTAACTGGTTCACAGCCTCGTCGATTGATTTCCCATACTACTTACCTAGCACTCGACCAATGACTAACAGCAATATTGCTCACCTTATTATACCAATTCACGCGGAAGATAGAACGCAGGAAAGTGAAGCTGTTGTAAGCTTCGTTTATCAAATCAACTGAATAGAGTACGTGTAAAAGGAATGATTCAACACCTGTCCAACCAGATATCTGGAAAATGCTACTATACGACGACAAATAGGAGAGAATAAAGAAATCTATAAAACTCAAGTTTCGAATTCGTGTGGTTATAATTGGTGATGTGTGTGATTATGGACAGCAATAATGAATTGTGTTCCAAACTGTATCATCCAGTAAATACGAATACTGTTTCACTGACTGCGTGATACATCTAATGAACAAAGTAATATGGAATTACGCATGGTTTAGAAGCGCGTCAGTTAGGATAGAAATTCGACTCTGTGTGGGGGTGTGCACTGGCTGGCCATTTAATCGAGTCCAAGTGAGTGGTGGCTGAATAGTATAAAGGCCAGCCAGCTAGCTTGCCTTACTTGCAACCAGAAGAGTCTTGGTTCGAACCCCGGTGCAGTGGTGGGTGCGTACCGCCGATGATGATTCCCAAACTAGTCTGATCAGACAGCTGTTGGTTTTCAATGCTGCTTCTCTAACTCCTCATTGATATCAATCCATGCGTGCATGATCAACTCGCCAAAAAGCACAAAACATAACTAACCCCATACAAATCAAATCAAACCAGAGCAGAGCAGAGCAGAGGAAAATCAATGATAAGCCTAAATTATCTATCTCACTGTCTGTCTGTCTCTCATTGCATAATACACATACACCCACCATACACACACACAGTACAATAAAAGGTACACAAATCACAAGTCACATGAACACGCAGACACACACACCCACACAGACACTTTCAAATACAGAATTCATAATTAGCGGTGATGATGATAATAATCCGAAACCACACAAAACTGATCAGTGTGTGTGAATACCCCCCCCCCTACCCCCATTTTGATGTCCTGAAAACTGACCAGACTACCTACATACAATAGGGGTGATGTAATCATCAACTCTCATTAGTTATTTGATTCAATGAATTCACTTATTCAATAAATAAATAAATTAATTAATTAATTAAAAATTGCATAATACTTTAAAATATACACAAGCTAACTGATTGTTTAATTATGCCCACATATATGTGTGTGTGTGTATGATGAAGGGAACTTTGTCCAGTAAGTAAGTATGCCGATGATCTGACTATTTCAAGTGTGTCTGTTAACTCCCATACCAGCCAGCTAGACAGACTACTGTACTAAGATGAACAGCTTTCTATCATCAGGAATGGTTAGCAAATGGTCTTCGTCTAATCGTCTAACGGTGTTAAACACTAAATCCTTCCAAATGATGTCAGACTGTTAATTTCAGTTTCCGATGTGAGTAAGTAAGAAAGTTAAGCGATGAAGCTGTTGGTTCCTGTGACCACTGGAAAATTGATGATAGTGAGGATATAGAAACCAAGTCTGAATAAAGTTAAGTATCTTGGATTAATTATGTTTCTACTGACCTACCTATCCTGGTCTTCCAATGTCTCAGCAATTTCTAAAAGAATATTTCGTCTGACA